AAGCGAAGCAGAGTGGTGTTCGAACACAACTAAAATTTATGACATTTATTATGATGAGTTAATAAACAATAACTATAATTACAAGAAACAAACATAAATAGGTACATTCAATAAAGTTGTACGACAGTTTCTTTTTCTGCAAAAGAACACCGTGTTTCACGCTAGAAGCACGCTGCGCTAAGGTCGAAGGTGATCAGGAGTTTTCGTGTTCGTGTCCACTAACTCACCAACTTATTGTTTTAACTTCCATTGGTAATCAGAAGTAAGAGCTCACCTTTCACCTCAATTATTCAATGCTCTATATTAGTTATACGTTAGATCTTACAAGTTGAACAAACTCGTGTAAGCCTTATACGGACGACCATGCCGTATTTGGCGTAAATGGCATTATGATATTATTTTGCCGCTGCCCAACAAATAACGCTATTTATCAAATCGCAATGTATGGCATATTTGAATAAAGATTTTATTTACGATAATAGAGCATATTACGTTAAAAATTGGTAATTTAACGTCAAATTCTTCAGGAATAATGGCCGTAATAATTGTTTTACTATAGTTCGGTGAGCAAGTGATTTACGCATTAACTCGTATGCGGACTGCATAATTTGCGATGTTAATTTTGATAATGATACATTCATGATTGGATAGGATATATCTAATTATACCACAGATAAATCAAATTTTTGATTCCAAAGCCTATTTTCGATATGTATCTACCCAAGAAAATTGCTTTAACCTTTAAAACACTAACGAGCAAATTATCTCGCATCCAAATGTTTCGATTTTTCGTGTGCGCACAGCCTCGTTTTTCTGATTTAAAGTGGGTTACCTCCTATGGAAAGCTAGTACCCCTAAGGCAAACCTACTTCGTTTAAAGGGCATGAATTAATTAGCGGTAGGAAATTCTCCTACGTTCAGTTTGTAAGACATGAATGGCTGCTTTCGCGGTTTCCGTAAATTAAAAAGTATGCCAACGTTCCTTTAGGTGGGTGCTCATAATCCTCAAAATATGAAATCTCGCATCATTTCAAATTAAGGTTTAGTTCAGCCACCTAAACAGGAAACTACTTTTATTTCGACTTATTACAGTATTGTACGTGTCTTGTACATTTACTAAGGGGATTGATAAAGACACTAAACCTTCCCCATACTTCTTTTAATTATTTCAGGTATTAAAATAAAGGCATTAGGTGACAGCGACTATAGTTTCGACCCGAAGGTCATTATCAAGCTGAAATGTTATACTTTGAAACAATGACTAACCTTAGGTGACCTACCTTAAGTTTAAGAGAACATATAAAAAAAAAACTTTTTGTCCTGACATATTATAAGATAATTGATTAATATAAAATAGAAATTAGAGGAGACGAGATGGACAACAGCCATCTTGACAAGAAATGTGAAATGTGCTAACTAAATACGACAGGTTAAGTAACTGAAGGGAAGGGGCAAAAGCGAGAAAATTGAAAAATTTGAAAATTAAAAAGGAATAAAGGGCCGGATTGGTTATGGGACGAAAAAAGAAGAAAGGTGAAAGAATGTAACTTAGCTTACATTAGGCTATTGTTTTTTGAAAATATTTAAATTTAATGGGCCAAAATACCCAGTCTCTACTGAAGGTAGACGTCGGGACTCTGTAACATTCAATTTCATTAACAGCATGTAATTTGGGTTGCATATATTTCCGCGAAATTCAAAATTTAAACATCTATCTTGTGGGGGTTATCAGGTCACATTCTTCTGATTGTGGTATACTTTACCTTGACCAATTTTTGGACACTTTTGAAGCTAATCTTCATCGTGGTAGTTGCTACAAATAATTACATAGTTAATTATCGTTATTATTACGGATTAAGTAAGCTACTTACGTTATTTCAAGAGGCTCTTTAGTAGTGTTGTTAGCATAGCCCTTGAAAATTCTCATTATTTTGGGATTTAGAAGATTCAGTTGGTAAGGGTGTGGTCGCCACGCTAAAAATTACTTAATCGTTAATAATTTTAGGTAGCTTTGGATGATACAGCCGTTGTAACTATACATCATAATATTAGTACAATTATTTAGTTTACTTAAGAGCAAAAGCCAGATCCTTCTGGGTTAGTATTAATCTCATAATCACAGTAATCTTACAGATTCTATTTTAGCTTTTGATCCAAGTTTGATCCAAGTTTTACGCTACCAGTTTTAAGACAAATTTAGTAACCAGATTCGCATACCCGTTTTGTTTATCGTTAAGACCCGAACATCTTCCCTGTCAACATTTACCTATTCCGTATTCATCGATACCATCGCTGGTTCCAGCTCTGGGAAAAAAAAATAGCTTTACACACTTTGAAGAACCATTTATGTACTCACCGGAATACGTGTAAATATAATCTCTGAGCAGGGGTAAGAGTAAGAGAGGGATTGCACATCACTATCATTTCATCCATCTTGTATAATTTCATAATTACGTTCACTAAATTCTTCAGGTCTATACTTACCACTGTAAAAGCGTCAACAAGTTACCGGTCACTTCCATCATTTTATTTGTTAGACCGACTATTACCCCCTTGAACTACGAGTTAGTAGTTATAATAAGATGCTGTAAAGTAAGCTTACGTTACACCCGTCTTAGGTAAAGCTTTGTCCACCCACTTGTGTTCGCTGCCAAGTTGAAGTTCCTTGATTTAATTGTTAATTAGTAATTACTTAGTCATTGTCATAAATTGCGTCATTAATTCGTCATTTGGTTGTCACATCTTATCATTATCACCTCTTACCTCGCTTGCTTATGCACTACAATAATAGTATATTAAGAAACAAGTTTCATAAGTGGCGCGTTTAACGCACGAGTTCAAGTTTAGAAAACGAGCCGCTCGCGGCGAGTTTTCTAATGAACGAGTGCGATGGGGCGTCTTATGAAACAAGTTTCTTATAATATTTTTTCTATTGAGAAGATATTTTCGAGAAATTTTTATCAAAATGATGTTATAGTAACTTTTTGTAACTAGGGAATTTTGATATAGAAGTTGTATTAGTGCAGGTTGTATTAAGTTGGCAGTACGACGTCCCAAATATTTCACTTATTTAAATACAGTCTCATCAATTTTGTTTTAATTAATAAACTTCAGAAATTAGTACATTAACTGTGGAACAATTCATAAAGGCAAAATACAGTCCTTCGTCCTTTTATATAAGTTATGTGAAATTCAGTCGTGTCACTGCCGATTTAACGACAAAGCTAACACCTAACAGATTTCGCCCTTATGACACTGCTTCTACTTATATTGGTGACTGACATAAAAAGAAAAACAAAGGTTTCCTTTCGCGATTTGCCATTAACGGTCACTAACGGATCGGTTCTTAGTGGGTTGTTGTTACGTGATACGTGTCACTCATTACGACAGGTTCGGCTTCAGATTGTCACTTCCTCTTAGGAGCATAACGATACTACACAAATCAGGCTCACGATATTAATAACGCAGAACAAGTGCTAAAAGCAATAAGCTGCTTCTTTAAAATATTGTTTAATGTGTTCCGAAGGTATCCTCGTTGTCATCCTTTTCCCCATTCGAAAGCTCCTTTATAACCTGTAGGTCTATTTTGGAAGATAGGTACACTATTCGTACTAGTAATCATTGGTCACCGATTGCACGTAGATGTTGAGCGTGCTACAAAAAGAGGCATTAATCATTAATGTAAAAATTTACCTCAAAGCCCCACATTGTTGATATCTCGGTTCTTACGCTACATACCGTAATATTTAATTCCCTTTTGAGTTTTGGGAGAAAGTAATAAGTGGTTTTTTCATATTGTCCTTGTAATTTGATTAACACTTTATCAGCCTTACATGTCTCGCTTTTAATCAAATAGAAAGGGAATCTTGTCGTTCTGTATATCAAAACATAACCCTAATTTGTAAATAAATACAATCGAATGTCAAATAGGGTAGTGAATTTAGGTTTTCCACTTTAATACCAACTTAAAAACGGTGCGTTAATAGGTCTCATTAACGCACTGTTTTGAGCGGAAAACAGTGCGTTAATAAGAACATTTAAAAATCGAAATAGAAAAAATTACTTATATACCCCGTTAAACAGCAGTTTATTATAAAGGTAGTTAGGCCAGCGCGTCCTGATAATTCTAAGGACGTCACTTCACTGGCTGTAGAATTTGGCGCCCTTAAAATATATTATTTTTTCTATTTCGCGTTGTTTATAGCTCCATTACCGCACGCAATCGCGTATCGTTCTAGCCATTAACGCACCGCATAGATTTTGTTTTCAACTGTTGGTAACATTGCAAATGCTAATAAGTCGATGGTATTTATTCAATGTGTACATAACATAACCAAACTTTTCTAACTAAAATTGCACAACGAAAGCTTTAATCATAATAAAGTAAATACAACAAACTTAGATTTCGTCCTTATCTGCGTAAGTAAATGTACAATTATTGTACACTTTGACGGTAACAGCTCCATCATGTGTATTGACTTTGATACCAGGTAAATTGTGGGTTATGATGTTGTGTTCGGCACTATTTATATTTCCTTCAACTATAGCACTGGGAACGGCACTTTCTACATGTGTTGATGTACATCCTTGTGCAAGAATCCCATGTAATGATGAGGATGATTTACTTGCTTGGGCAAGAGTTCCTGCAACTTCCACTTTTCGTTGAACCTACGTTTCAATATATCCTTCGGCAACCGCGGAGGACTTCCACCCGCCATGTCGTTTAATGGTGACCAAGTCACTACCGCTGTTAGCTAAATGTGAGACACTTGAACGCCGGAAACAGTGCCCAGTGTATTGTGCCGGATTGGCTAATTGTAGAAACTCTGCAATCTTTCGTGGCGTCTTGCCCATTGTATTGATTCCGATCGAAGTAGTAATGCAGCGACCACTACGGTATGTTACAAAGAATCGTTGATGGCAAGTATTAACTGGGCGTATGCTGCTATATTTTTTTATAATATCAATCCACAATTTCTCGGTGATGACAAACTGTCTCATTACATTGTTTTTGTTTTAGGCACCGATACAACAACAATATCATTTTTATATTGGATGTCGCCCAGTGCCATATTAGTCAGCTCCTCGCGTCTGCATGCCCCACTGTAGCCCATTATTAAAATAACCTACAACGAGAATACAAACAAGATACTCCTGTAGCTAGTACCTACCTACCCACTAGAACAAAAAATTCTACTTACTTTTGTATCTAAATAATGCTTGTCGTCAGCCTCCTGAATAAATCGATTAATTTGCTCTAAATCTAAAATTTTTGATTTTTTTGGCTCATAGCCTTGCGAAAATCTTTTTAGCAGTGCTTGTAACTTGACGTATCTTGATATATCTACATTTTTATGCACATTTAGGTAGGATCGTAGCATCGAGTACATTGACCATAATGACGATGGCTTTTTCAAATGAGTTTGTAATTCAAAATATGCTAATAAAACATTCTCCGAAATGTGTTGGGCTTTATTTTCTTTACACCACTGGTCAAATTTAAGGTATTCCTTTTCATATTTTAGTTTCGATTTCTGCGGAAGCAAATTATCTACGGTACTGTTTGCTATTTCCCGCAATTCAGGTGGCGTGCAAGTTATGATTTCGTGCTGCTCTTCCATTTCTATTTCACAAAAATTGCATATCTGCGCAAAAATTGAAACTTCAAAATTTTCAATTTGAAAAAGCGAACCAGTGCTACCAACTTAACATTTACAACTAATGTGAAGTAGTACAGAATTTTGAACTATTTTTAGTTTTTTACAATAGAAATCACGCGAAATAGAAAAAGTAGTATAAATAACTCGTTTCATAAGCCGTTTGATCGCACTTGTCCTTTGGAAAACTCGCCGCTACGCGGCTCGTTTTCCAAACTGGACACGTGCGATAAAACAGCTACTTATGAAACTTGTTCTTTAATATACTATTACGACCCCGCCCAGAGCTAGCTGGCGCAGGGATTACATCGCCTTACCATCCTTATATATATACAAATCTTATTGTGTGGCGAAATTTAGGTTACAACTCACGGACTGAATGGAAGCCCAAAAGTAACAACCCTGATCTGCTGAAGGCAGAAAAAGGGCAACATAAACTAGGAACGAAGGGCTGACGAGCGTATCGGGGTCGGAAACTACTTTGTGAGAAAAAGCAAATTTTTATTTAAGTGAAGCATTTCATTAAGGGAGTGTTGAGGATTCGTCCTATAGTGGAGGTAAATCTCTTTCATTTCAAGAAAGTCCAATTTGAGACTTTTGTTACAAACATGCAAAATTTTGAAATCCTCTTTAGAAAACGAATGGCCTGAACTTAGGATGTGGTGAGCGAAGGAGGAACTGGGATTAGGTTGAACAGAGCTTATGTTGTTGTTCTTAATGGCAGTGATGTGTTCAGAGAACCGAATTTTGAAAGAACGACCAGTTTGTCCAATATAACAAGCTGGGCAATCTGAACAAACCAATTTGTAAACTCCAGACTTTGTTCAGATTGGATAGTGGAACGCCTTTTTTACAATACAATCGGTCCAGGTTTGTTCAGGTTTTCATTTCAGGTATTTATTCAGGTAAAATTTCGTTACTCGTTGAAAGATGGTTGACGAATTTGAATCCAACAAGCCCATGCTTCAGGTTTTTCGCAATTTATTAGTTCTAATATGGTTTATTTACTGGAATGTTTACCAATGTTCCGCAGTATGGAAATGTTCAAAACTATCCTCGAAATTATCCCTTAGGGTTTTGACAGTAATCAAATGCACGAATTAATTTTCTTTAACCTTTTTACCGGTTCCGTTTTATTTTTAATTTTTTTAGCACTTCGTAAAACCAATCAGATGTGTACAACTTTGATTAGTAAACTGGTCTTTTTTAACGTATCTTTCCACTCCAAATATAACGCAATGACTCTAACGCTTTTCGTGATATTTAAATACAAGGCACTTTAATCGTGCAATGACCCGCAAATATTCACGTACATATGAAGAAAGTAATTTATTCGTACTGTATTTTCAATGGAACATAAATTCGTCGTCTATTAGTTTTCACTACACGACGAAGTTCCCTTGTTGCAAAAAAAAACGCCTCTTATGATTAGTATTGTTGAAAAAACAGGCCGGTATTTATACAATGAGTTTTTTAAAGACTGGCCCTGTTACCTTTTATTTTTGTAAAAATTACAAAGCCTAGCGCTGTTATTTTATTGAATATTAACGTTTTCTAGTTATTTACTTAATTTTGAAATACTTAAATGGTTATAGAGCGACATTTTGGAATGAAAATAACTTCCTTTCCTCGTGAAAGTTTGTTGAATCGTTACAAATATCACATCAAAATTAAAAATGATAGATGAAATTTCAGCCTACTAACAATTTAAAATTGAATCAAAAAATGAATTAGAAACGTCTGTTTGCTAGGCTTTTCCTTACTTGTGGATATTAAGTTGGAATTATTTCAGTACTTTATCAGCTCCCACAACTTTAGTACAAAATGGGATTGAATATTTTCTTAAGACAAAAGTAAACAGGGGGTTGAAACATTTTCATGTAAAATCCTATAGCCAGTCTTAAAAAAACTCACTGTATCGTATTGCGGTTATACGGCGATCCAAAAATGCAGCGCTCGACCTGCATAGATTCTCTTCGCAAATCTGAGTAAGAATACCGCTTTCCCACCAGATTTTTACTTAATTATGCTGCTAATCCCAAATACGAAACGGACCCACCGCAAACCAATCGTCCACAACGTCCCTTATTTCCCATCATGACGATTTTTAGAACCGGCAACACCGTAGCGTTTCGACTCTTATCTACTTGAACACTCGTTTCTTATCTCAACGTACTTTATTTTCTCAAATATAAGATCTGTTCTCTTTCCTTATCAAGCCGTACACATAAAATTTAATTTAAAAAAATCTTTAAAGCCTTACGTGACCACCTGTTACACTAGCACACACTTTTGTACGGTGATCTACTTTGTAAAAAATTTCTCCCTTTCTATTTTCTGAAAATTAACTTCAAAATTTACGAGTAATTGTTGTCCTCCGGATAAAGTCTTCAAACAAGATTTGTTATACAGCGAAGGTCTGTTATTAACGGGTTTTTATACAGTTTTTTTGAACACTTTATTCTTCGCGCTGGAGAGAAAGTTTTTTTTTACTAAGTGTCGAATTTTACAGCTCAAAACAACTGTGGGTTATCCACTCTTTATGACTACGCGTTCCACCAACAAAGTTCAATACCCATTCGTTCACCACCGACGACGGAACTTACTGCGGAATTGTTTTGCAACAAAGGTAGCTATGCTCGAAAAGTAAAAAAAAAAAAACAAAACAGCTGCCTAGCTCAATCCAAAAATTGCGCTCTTCAAACAAATGGTGCTATTATTTTAAACTAATTAAAATTGTTTAATTCCATACATTACAAAATAGCAATGAGATTATAATACATTATTAGCATTGATGACACGTTAAATATAGATAAAGTGCAATTAATAATTAGTATTAATAATACATTATGAAACAATGCCAGAACTAATGGTGATTAAATGTGCAAGGATAATTACGAAAAGCTTTTGTACCTCCGGCTCCAGTTTTAATGAATAATCAAGTCAATGTAAAGATAACCCTTAATGCAAGTCTTTTATGCACTTAATGAGCTAAAATCATTAAAGTTTTATGGCGATTTCATTGGCCATGACCATATAACTCTTTATAGTTCTTTATCCCAACAAAATTATAAATAGATACTTGATAAATGTAGGCTATTAAGCTGTGAAACTGCACGACCCACCTGTCTTAAGCACGGCAATTGTAAATGCCCATTCAGACTTACGGTACCGTGTTATTGATTCGAAGGATTACAAAAGGAAAACTTTAGGCTTTTAATACCTACTGCAGCTTACACTCCGAGATATAATTTGCATAGCGGTTTTCATCACATTCAATATGCATAGATTAGCAGAACTTATAAGATGAAAGTCCCAAACGGCAAATATTTTAGTCCTTCGTTAAGCTCATGTAAGGGTTGCAGACAAGATAATGCAATCAAGGGAGTGATACAAGTAATTCTATACATTTAAATTGGCTTTTACGCTAGGATACTTGCCTAACAAACCGCTGGGACATTGTTTATTTATTGTCCATTTGGAGGTCCATTTTAATTTTCGGCACATAATTTTTTTTACATCCGCTCCCTTTTTTCCCATTTAAATTATAGCGTCTAATTGCAAATATAAAAGGGACATAAAGCGCATTCTCGCCTCCCAGCGTCGACTTTTACCAATGATTACGCATTAAATATAAAACTGGATTTTATGGAAGGCAAAAAATTACTATCCTATCTGAAATCATCACTATAATACCACCATTCCTGCGCCAATAACCTTTTATTGCTCCTTATTTTTGCTTTTTATGTTTCATTTTCGTCACGTATTGTATCGAGTTCTTTTTAAAGATTCAATGTCAATTACCAATGCGGTATATGTCCTATTACGAAGAAGTATCCAGAGAGCTTTTCAGTTAACTGTTAGGCGACAATCTTCGTTATAGGTAAACTTAAATGTGGCTGCCAGAGGATAAATGAGGCGCAACGTCGTTTTTTGTAGAAAGTTTTCGATAAAAGGGCGCGATCTGATTATATATATTGCTAACTCCCTTGAAAGCGCGTAACAGCGCAATGAATATCTTTTTTACTTCATTGGTATTTCAAACGTGAAGTTAAATTGTCTACCAGCAGATTAGCAATTTCTCGGGATTGCCGTAGATTGCAGTAGTTTAATTGCTGTGTTGATATACAGTGACTCTTTGTCTACTTTCAGTCAGACTGGCGGAAAACTATTTTTGTGTTCTACCTTCTTCTGTTGCAAGGATAAATTAAATTACTCTAGCTCTAGAGTATTGACACATAGGTGAGAGGAGGTTTGTTTTATTTGGATACTTCCTGGTAAAATATAAGTTGTGGTAGGTTTGGGAACTTCAGGCCCATATTCCCTCCTGCATATAGATGTCGCCTAGTGTATGAATTTTATTTATACGTTACTTTTTGCCAAACAAAAGGGGGTGGGATGCGATTGATTATCAATGTGATTAATTGTTTGTTAAAAGATCGAAGGCCGAGTCATCATAATCATATATGTTAATCAAAAGGGTTAAGATTTTGTTTGCTTAAGCGGTAACGGTATATGTGGCGGAACAATTTTCAAAAGTTGGGGATTTTGGGACCATCTTGCTTCTCTTTTCAAGTGTGACTTTGACATTGATCGGTCCACATTCATAGTTTCCGATATTAAACCCTAGTCAACGTTAATTTGGTTACGAAGCAGAGGACCGTCTTGCTATTCCGACTACACCTATAACAACCTACGTTTAGAATGTGGAGCAAAGGTTCCTTATAACTTTACCGATCTGCCGACTCACAGACAACATTCAAAGGGGTTTGAAATTTGGAGAAAACATAGCTTGTTTTATGATAAAATAGGAGATAATTGTTTGGGCCCGTAAAGTTGAACCGTTTCCAAGATCTCACGATCTCTGGGAATTTTCAAGGGAATGAAAAATCTATTTTTTTCATCGTACAGAGGTGCGCGGGCTAGCAAAATTTTCGTAACTACTTACATTTTAATAATCAAAAATAAAAAGT